GAGATGGATTGATACGGTGGCTGCGATGATGGGCTCAAGTATAGCAGGGATTGTGGGGCTGGTGCGGGATCGGGCAGTGTTTCGTTCTGCTGTGAGTCGCTATGAGTCGGAAACGACTCGACGGCACTTAACAACAACAACATGTGATTTGGTAACATCGGGACTGTGTCTTTTTACTTGTCAACCTTCCAATTAATTGCAGTGAATTGTGGAGTTCTCAACACTGGATGTCAGGTTAACAGATTTAGCTTTTAACGTGGATGCTGCTTTTAAATTAGTAATCTACCTTTGTATAACTATCATAGTTTAATTAGCCATTTAACATAAGAAAGTATTTGGATCACTGCAATGAAGGCTTTTATTTTTCCTCCTGAGGATTTTACTGCCACCACCATTTTAGAATAAGGCAAGTAGAATTTTCCGGTTTTAAAAATAGATGGCATCTATAAATAAATATACAAACTTCTCCTACATTTACTATTCTTTCTGTTTAAAATAAAAACATTTATTTTCTTCATCAGAGAAAGACTCTTTCATTTCTATGAAGGATAAATGCTAAAATACCTTGACAGTATCACCAAATATTTATATGACTAGTAGAAGCACTATTTCCATTTGTTGAAACATGTCACCAAGTTTGATGGTTAGGCTAGCTGCCTCCCAGTGATGCTCTAAAAAGGATAGCAAGATTTATATTATACTTTCTCATTACTAGTTTGTCCAATCCTGTATTTCTAAACCTCAAGGATTCATGAATATAATTCATTCTTGATTTTTCGCTCAGTTTTAAGGTCTTTGTACTTGTGAAGAAAAATTTTAGGAAGTATTTTTAACGTATCTGTCTAGTTTTAAAAAAATCTACAGGGTACTCAGTTTTATTGTTAGTGAACATAAAATCTCTTATTTCATATTTGTACTAATTAGAAAGATGAGATAGTATTACCTTAATTTCTCTGAGACAAACCTAAAATTGTATTTAGTACCATATGTAGGGGTCTCATAAGGAGCTCTGGTGGCATAATGCCTGAGGCATTATACTGCTAACCAGAAGGCTGGGGGTTCAAGCCCACCAGCTGCTCTGTGGAAGCAAGATGAGGCAATCTACTTCTGTAAAGATTTACCACCTTGGAAACCCGAAGGGGTAGCTATGAGTCAGAACTGACTCAATGGCAGTGGGTTTGAATTGTTTTTTTTTTTTTTTTTGGTAGGGGTCTCATATTTGTTTATGTGGATTACAGGCATGTAATTTCTGTATTTATTTATACTATAATTTCACAGGCATGCCAGTGATGAAAAAAAAAAAACCCTGAAACGTAGCCTTATTCTGATAATTAATCTCATTCTTCATTTTAAATCTGCATATGTACTAAAAAGAAAAGGCAAACCTAGAGTAAATATATCAATTTGAAAAACATGGATTGGTCAAAGAATTTCAGTTTCAAACATAAACAGTTAACTTAAAATATAAGTAATATTTGGGAAGAATATTTTTAGAAAAAGATTCTCTATATGGGTAGCAGTATACGAAGCAAACAAACATTTTCCTGGTGTTAGGAAAATGAAAGATGAATAATGAACTTGAGGAGTTCTGGAATCAAAAACCAAAACCAAACACGGCTGTATTTCCACAGCCAAAGCCAGAGTGATAGGAGCCTTACAAGTTGGTTTCATTTTGCCTTAATGCTACTTGTTGGACTGTTTTAAAGGAAACAGCTTGGAGACTTGATAGACGGTGGGAAATTTCTGTTTTTCTTTTTTAATTGTGCTTTGGGTGCAAATTTACAAAGCAGATTTGTTTTATATTCAACAGTTCATGCACATTTGATTTCATGGCCCAATTGCTATCCCCAACCATAAAAAACTCTCCTCCCCTCTCTTCCCTGTGACTACCCCCTCCCTTCTTATCTATGCATTCCTGTCTGTCCAGCTTTGCCCCTCTGATGTCTCATGGCTGGTTGATCTGAGGGGTGCAGCTCCCTAGAGTAGGCGGGTATATCTCCCTAGGGTAGGTGTTCTGCATTTAGGTCTTTGTACTGTTGGGCGGAAAGCCAATCCACAGAAGTGAGTCCATTTCTAGGCCCGAAGGGTAATCCAGGGCCACAGTCTTAGGGATTCCACCAGTCTCTATCCTACCAATAATTCTGGTCATTTTTGTGTTTGAGAATTTTGTTCCACATTTTTCCTCCCACTCTATCCAGGATCTCCAATTATGATCCCTTTCTGAGCGGTTGGATTTCTGGATTGCAATCTCTACTGCCAAGCAATTTTTTAAACCAAACTCAACTGTTTTACTATTTGAGTAGTTACAGTTGTCAAAGGAAAAGGAAAGGGAAAGAATCTGGGCAAAATCCTAAATTACAGCTGCTGGACACTAATGCCCTATGGGAGCATGACTCCCTGTTAATACCCAGTTACTACTGCACTAAAGTGACTGTAGGGACATGGTCTTTGGGGCAGGAGTTGGTGACTCTGAGGCTGAAGAGGGGGAAATAAATGGTTTGTATTTATCCTGAGCTTCTCACGATCCCTGAGAAGAATTTAATTTGTGGCAGTCTTCCAGGAAGACAGCCTTGGAAAATAAACACTGGACATGAGACCTGGCCCTGGACTGTGTAACTTATTCTTGTAAGCACTAAACAAAGCAGATGAGAAAATGAACAATCTAGTCTTCTTTCATAACAATCTCTGGTTAACAACGAATGAGTCTGAAGATGGACATATTTTCAAAGCTCAATTATATCATATTCATAGTTGGAAACTACTAAGGTAAAAACTATTGTGCCAACTGAAAATTTCCCCATGTTGAAGAACAGAAATAGCTTACTTTTTCGATGAAGAAACTCTGCAACCAGAGCTGCTACATGAACATAACACATTGCAGCCTGAAAAAGGAAGAGAGAGAGGGGGAGAGAGAGAGAGAGAGAACTGTCAGAATTTGTTCAAGAGGTATGGAAGGTTGTTGTTTAGAACAAAACCTTATGTAGTCACCTCAGAAAAATCTCCATTTTTTATATGAATCTTGGCCATGCTGTCAAGCCAGGTTTTCCTGAGCTCTGGGGTGCTTGCATAGGATTTGGCTAAGCTATACTGGAGATCAATTAGCATTTCAGGGTCTTTCTCATGTTCCTTCATTTGAGCAGTGGCCATAAGAACAGTCCGGATTCTCTTGGTCAAATCTTTGACTTCTGCGGGAAAAGCAGTTGCCTAATTTTGAAGCAAAAAAAAGACACATTTAACAATATTACTGATATAATAATAATATGCCTCAGCATCCAATCCTGAGCTCATCATGGGGCTTTTATTCCTTGGTGTGCTTCTAGGTATACTGCATATAACACATCTACAAACCAAACTCACTGCCGTCGAGCTGGATCCGACCCATGGCGACCCCTCCTTGGGTTTACGAGGTGGTATCTCTACAGAAGTAGATTGCCCAAAGGAATTTAAATTAATTATCTTTAAAATATATAACTAGTCCAGAATTCAAAGACTCTGAATTAGAGGAGCAACATATTCATGGTATTGAACAGCATGAGCTCTGTGCATAGATTGCCTGGCTTAGAATTCTTGTTGTTCTACTGTGAATTTCATAGCCATGGGAGTAATACATGTGCCCCATTACTGTGTGGACTTATAACAGTAATCACAAATTAATGACAGCTTATTATGTACCAGACACTGGTCTGGATTCTTTATATATTTTAACTTAATTTTTACAACTCTATGAGTTAAGTACTATCATAATTTGTTTTACCAATAGGAAAACTGAGGCACAGAGCAATGTAGCAGCAGTTTGACCAAGTTGGTAAGTAGTAGAGACAGGATTTATATCCAAGTAGGTTGGCTCCAGAACTAAGGCTCTTAGCCACTCTTCTATATTGACAGACATACTTACTCCGTCCATCCATTGATGACCACATACATGAAGGTGAAAACCATATTGTATACATTTCTATTTACACAAATGAGAGGTTATGAATCACAGAACACCCTTAAGAGTTTAAATAGTTCATTAGTTTCTCTCAAAGATGTTTTTGGGCTCTTAAGTACTAAATTAAACTTTTGTCTTTACCCCGGCAACTATTAAGAAAGTCATTACCTCCTTCCAACCCTACTAGAGTAATCACAATGATCTTTATGATTATGAGAAGATAAGGAAGGGACAGTTAGGAGCTCTGGTGGTGTAGTGCCTAAGGCATTTGACTGCCAACCAGAAGGCTGGTGGTTCAAACCCACCAGCCACTCCTCGGAAGGAAGACTGGACCATCTACTTCTGTAGAGATACCAACTCGGAAACCCAAGGAGGGGTCGCTATGAGTCTGAAATGACACGACAGCAGTGAGTTTTTTTTTTTGGGGGGGGGAGGGTAAGAAAGGGACAAGTATGGGGCATAAGGAGGCTTTTTAATGTGAATATAATAAAATATGAAGGAACTGGTTTTATAAACTGCTTTCTTTGTTGTTGTTGTTAAGTGCCATCGAGTCGTTTCCGACTCATAGCGACCCCAT